CTTTCTCTTTAATTCATTAAACAGACATAATTTCTTGTTTAGTTACAAAGTTCCGCTGTTCAAGTCCTATAATTGCTGTGTTGAGAATACCGACTAATTTGTCAATCGAAATGTTTTCGTTTTCAATAATCTCTGTGTCACTTTCTTCACTATCGGAAGCGAATTATAATGACGAGGAACTTGATTTAAATCATATCAAAGACGGAGTACATCGAGATGAAATGCTACACTTAGTAAGGAATTATAAGCCAAATAAAATAAAAACATCTGGCCTGAAGATAAGGATAGTGCTGACAGTTCAACTTCCAATCCGCGGCGTGAAACTGATAAACAGATTTCGGATTTCAAAACATACTTTCGCTTTGTAGATACAAATTACATATTAGTAAATATATATCGGAAATTCTATTTGACATAATCGAAAGTTCAAGCTTACTTTTATGAAATTGCTCTAACAGTCTGCAAAAAATAATAAGCCGGATCCAATTCGAAGATTAAGGAACAACGCAATCTGCAACATTAACTGAATTAAATAATTTTAGCTTAGCTTATACCGTCCGTTACACATTACGCGCATGCGCACAAACATATTCGCAGCCGTAAAGGTCTTACGCGCACTCGTAAACGCCTGTGCGCATGCGTGAACGCTACACATGCGCAGAAAGTTTGTAGCTTTGAGGTCCGGATTATAGATCATTCCGGATTATGGGTGTCCGAATTAACGACTTTTGACTATATAAGTAATAATATTTTTAGTTTAAAACATTGATTTGAATTTAAATAAAAATGGATTTCAGGTAATGCTTTATCTGCAAGATTAGAGTAAACGATTGCTAAGCTACAGAATGCGATTTTGCGTTTTTTATGTTCTAGTCAATATCCTGAGGGATTTACAATTTTTGTATTAGCTGTCTTCATTTAAACGATTCATTGGAATTTATTTTTTAAATACAAAATTTAATTATTTTATTTGTGTAATTAATTACTTTATCTGTGTGAAATTTGAATGCATTAAACACTGTGATTCTTTTATTAAAACGCCAGTCAGTTGCGGTTCTCAGAAATAACGATCACTTTTATAGACGGTCACCAATAAGAGGATTCCTTGTATTTAATTTGTTTTAAAACAGAAAATGGAACATAGATTTTTTCCCTTGATAAATGGTATTCGAATATGTGGATATATACCTGGAAACAATAATGATATCTTATTTATTTATTAAAAAAAAGATTGCCTTTTGGAATTATCATTTAAGTATAAAATTATTTTTAAACTTTTATTTTTTAATTCTGAGTTTTTTAGTTTATGGATTAGGATTTTGTGAAAGCTTCAATAACACTTTAATATAGTCGATCACGTTTAAACTTTTTCATAGGCAATAAGTCTAATTACATATCGAGTCGGTCTTTTTAATTGACAGAAGCAGCACATTATTTACAGTTGATTCTTCAGTGTAAGAGAGTTAGAAGGAGGACTTTGTACTTTTTCTCCCGTCACTAAATCAATGATTCTCATATTTATTAGAATTTTTAATAGAGCATTTTAAACAATTCAATTTTTTGGATATAGGAGCAAGGAATATGTCACAGTATAGGGATAAGTATAAGACATTTTCCTTTTACAGCTCTATAAAATTGGTGAAGTTGAGACATTATTAGCAAATTTTAATCTAGTCATTCCTTTGTGATTGGCGTTGCTCTTTGAAGAAAAACTTCAAATAAGAATTAAAATAATTGTTTCCTCCTTAAATATCACACACTAAAGAAATAATTTTGTTGTGAAAATTATTTTCTCCAACTGCGCAATTTGGAAGCATTAACTATCTGTATGATATCTCTGAATAGTATAGTTAAATAAAATTAAGATTATTGCAAAGGAAATTGTAATGTTATGAGTACAATTCATAACCGCAGGTAATTAAAAATTGAACAATTTTACCACTTACCAAAATTTTTTTAACGTTTTGTGTGTTACCTTTATTTATAAAATATGTTCTTCTCACTTAAACCATAAAATTCAATTCAACAGCAATATGACAAAATAAATTAAAAAGAGTGTATTTTTAGAATTTCAGATACACAGTCTCGGGCGCTGGAGATAAAAAAATGTTTTTTTTTTTTGTTTTTTTTTTTTCGTACAGTGTTACCACTGCTCGCTTTGAAATCGTTGAGTTTGTCAATTAAAAATCCGTTAAAGTTTTATAAAATATGAAATAAATAATAAAACAAATTCCAAACTCCAAATTTGGACTTTCAGATACTCATGTTCGAATGAAAGACTACGTTATTCAGAATTTGATGTCTCTAGGTACCGCTGTTTTTTCGCGATGCGAAAAACATACATACATTCACTCAGATTCTTTATTTAATTTCTTTAAATATAATTCTAAGATTTGGTGGCAGCACTTTGAAAAGTGAAACGCCGTTTATAATGAGCAACACAAAATGCCAAGACGAAGTTAATAGCCCTTTTGGGCAATTTGCCTTTTTGGGCTAATTAAATAAAATAGCTTACTTGGCAGTGAATGAACTATCTGCGTATTTAACAACTACCCTATTAAATCATTTTAAATAACAGGAATTTAAATTGCTAGATGACTAAGAAAATGAAATTCATTGCATTGAAAGCATCGAAATTCACATGCTTTCTATATTATTCCAAAAAAAAAAGTTAAATATTTTTGCTATATTTATTGACTTAATTGCAATTCGAAATTAATGTAATCACTCAAAATTATTTTATTGCGTTTTCTTCCCTCTTTTGTGCAATATTTAGATAATAAGTAGCAAATCTCAAAATTAAATACTTCAGCTTATATTTTTTCCCTTTTCTTTCTTCTTTCTTTCTTTTTTTTTAAATACTTAGTTTCTTTTAACCATTATGCTTTTAGATGCTTTGTCCGAAACGAAAGGTCTTTTTCTTCTTTACTGATATTTAGCTTGATAGCTAGAGGGAAAGTTGAACCGGATACAGAGGGATATTCAAAACTGTAAAAAACAACAGCTTTGCGACTTGAAAGTGTCACCTCACCTTCGAAATATTTTCCCACAGCTTGTTTCCTGAGGAAGGATTTTTCCTGATCTTACTTTTAAATTGAAAATAGCAGACTTTCCTGTCATTCTTTGTTAATCAGATGCATTTTTTGGGGAAGCTGGAAAGCAGCATTTTAAAAACTTAAGTCTTATCTATTGAAAATTATTTAGCACTTTTTATAAGTATAGGTAGTGGTGAAGCGGGAGGGTGCCCGGGCGCCCAGGGCACCCCCCTTGCTACACGCCTGGTTTATGAAATTAAAGGAAACTTTTATTTTTTAATTTTTTTTCAAAGTGGACGGTTTGACCAGGCTCCCCCCAAAAAACAGGGCCCTAGACATTTGTCTCATTTTTCTATGCTATGGTCCGGCCCTGGTCAAATTATTAGATTTAAACAAAAATATAATAAATATTTTATATATAATTTATATATAATTTGGTAAAACTATTTTATAATTATTTTTTAATAAATATATTTTATAATAAATTGTTTATTATATTAAGCATCATTTGAAAATGTTCATTTTCTTCTTAATTACCTAAATTCAAAACCGCAAAAATTAAATTATACTGATATTTATAAGAATTGAAGTGGTATAACTACTATTCTTATAACAATTAAAAGTAATAAGATAATGTTATAAGCCTATTAATGCCGTTATTTTGAAAACTATTTTTCTTGCCTTTTACATAATCTATATTAGTTAATTGTATTGGAAATTGAGATATAGGCTATTTCATATGCTTTTCTCTTTCAGATTTATTATTAAAGTGACTTTTTAAATTTAATTGTATCTAATATCTTTACTTATTATTTACTTGTATTTACATATTTTTAAACAGGTTGGAAAAAAGACCTTTAATCTCACAAAATTACTGTTGTTTGAACTCCTAAATGAAACTAAGTAAACAGAAAGAAAATTATGAAAGTATGCTTACTAAATAGAATTGTCATTGAACTCTTTTTGGAGAGGAATGTTATTCTTAGTTGAAAAAAATCCCTTCTATTAGGGCGGATGCATTTAGTGGTGAAATTGATTAACTAAGCGGATGATCAGCATTTTTAGTACTTACGTCTGGTGACTAATACTATAAATGTGTTGCCGAGGAAAGGAATCGTATGCGAATCGTATTAAAAATTTGTGGTCCAATGGCAAAAGAAAATTAGGACAAACAAAAATAATTCAGAGATTGGAGGTTTCTAAAATTTTATTCAAATATGGCATGATGACCTATATACTAAAAAAATTCAAATCTGTCGTTGAAGGATGTCTGAATATGGAAAATTGTTTTGAAAAGCAAAAGGTTTCCGTATAAAACATTAAATTAATGTCTGTACTCTTCTGTTATCAGAACCAGATTCAGAAATGTATGTGTGCACGTATGTTTATATGTGTACGTCTATACACACACATACGTACATACATATATATATACTATATATATATATACATGCATACATGAACACATCCATGCATTACATGAATTCATACATTTCTGAATTTGGTCTCAATAACAGAAGAGTCCTTTATTGTCATTATATTGAAAATTATGTATTTAATAGATTAAATCTAGCAATTTTGAAAATAATCCATTTGAGTCTAATAATTTGTGTCCATCCGTGTTGCTATTTATCAGTCAGAATTGTTCATGTACAGTACATGTTTAATTTTCCCCTCCTTTTTATAATATTTGGATTTCTTGATAGTTTTGCATGTTTTTGTACAAAAATATGTTTTTCTCTGGGTAACATGTTACTTTGTTTACTCTGTGACTCATATTTATGTTTGCTTATTGTTATCAAGAATTTAAACATAAATATAATTAAATTTAAACTATTTTATTCTGAGTGCAAGGATATTTTTCTGTAATACTTTTTAAATTGAAGTATATTTTTTATTTATCTTACATAGTATATTATTAATCTATTATACATTATTTTTACATTTATTTTTTGTCTCATTTAGTTAAGTCTTCAAATATGTGGTCAAAACGAAGACTGTGTGTCAAATATGGTATATCTAACTGTTCTTCATGGTTTGGAACGTCTTCTTGTTGCAGAAATTTTAACTGGAAAGGAAGCAAATCTACTTTTAAAATTAACGGTTGAGAGGTAACATATTATATAAATGACCTGAATTACTGTGCTTTTTTACTTTCTTGATTTTTTAACTTTTTTTTCTGTTATTCATCATTTGTTGACTGCTTTTTAAAATTATTCAAAAAAATGACCTCTTAGCAAAAGAAATATAAATAGTTATCATTACTACTGTTTCTTCTTTTTATCTGTTTAGCAAACATGTAGTTGTCCTCAGAAGAACATTGAGTTTACTTAAAACTATGTCCTTTTAAATTGTAGAAAAAGTGACAAAGAAAGCAAGGGTTTAATTAACCTTTATTCTTCACAATTTATAGCCGCTCTCGCACTTCAGGATACAGAGATCAGTACTTGTGGTCTGAACGTAAAAATAAGAACTACAAACTAACTAAATTTAAATAAGAGCTAAATTCAAATACTTTACAAAGGCTAGTAGCACTAAGATTAGCCTTTTATATCTTTACATATGTAGTACGCAGAATGCGGGGAAAACTACAATACGTCTTCAATATCAAGAGGACTAAACCTCTGGCCTTAAAGTCGGACAGCAACTGACTGAAACGTGCGTGAAGTAAAAGTGAGAGAGTTGCAAGAAGTCTCACTCTCTCTCTCTAACTCTTCTTGGCTAAAGGCCACAACTTAAATACTTAGGAGTTCGCAAGCACAATTTGCATAATAAAACTAACGCTTTTCTTCTGGCCGGAAGTGGAAAATAAGAGAGGACAGTAAAGTTTTAAAATAAAATAAACTTTAGTAAAATTTAAGATCTTATAGAGGAAGATATAAATATTTTGTTCACTTAACTGATGAAACAGTTCAAGGCACTGATAAACTGCAAGATCAGGTCCAACGAATTTAGAATGGACTGTATCTCTTATTAAACTAACTGACTAACAAACTAAACTATAATATCTCATTATCTTTATTTTACTCATATGTGTAAGACACTCGGACAACCACACGCACTCCGCTTCGTCATTGAAGCAATCCCTTTTCTTACAGTAGCAATGGCAGCACCATCTCGCTTGAAAGGAATTTAACATTCCTCTGGATCAAAATTACAAAATTTCAAGAAATTATACAAAATATTCTTAAAGCAAAATTAATATGCTTATAAACATATAAACAGCATAATACTATTCTATCATTATAACTACAGCTATTACAGTACTAGAACAAAATACAATTTTTCTTTTACATATGCAAAAATATCAGTTCAGTTTTCTATAGGAAGCACGGTGATCTTTGTGATCCTCTTTTTAATTCTCCTGATTTTGTTTTAATTTTAACAGTTCTTACTTATTGTCAGATACATGATAGACTTTAATAATCCGACCTAAAATCCATTTGCAAACTGGCAGATAGTCCTTGACGAGTACCATAGTACGAACAGAAATATTGTCCTTCTTTACCATCCACTTGTTTATCTGCTGCAGACTTCCTAAATACGAGGGCTATCCAGAAAGTAGATTACGTTTTGGAATAAAAAAATAAACAAAGTATAGGAAACAAATTTTATTATATACAGATGAAAGCCACACTCAAATACTACTTTTCTACATAGTCACCATACAAATTAAGGCATTTATCGTAGCGATGTACGAGCTTGGAAATTCCTTCGTCGAAAAATTCGGCCGCCTGCGCCTTCAACCACTTCGTTACCTCTTCTTGCAGCTGTGCGTCGTCATCAAAACGCTGCATAGCCAGCCACTTCTTCATTGCTGGGAATAGGTGGAAGTCGCTCGGTGCCAGGTCGGGACTGTACGGGATGAGGAAACAACTCCCACTTAAAAGATTCAAGAACTTACGAGTGACATTTGCCGTGTGGGGCCGGGCGTTGTCGTGAATCACAAGATCTTAGAGCTCAAATTCCTCTGCGCTTGTTTTGAATTGCTCTTCGAGTTTTGGAGAGTTTGGCAATACCTTTGAGAGTTTATTGTAGTGCCTCTTTCCAGGAAGTCCACCAAAATTACACCTTTTCTGTCCCAAAAAACAGTCGCCATCATTTCCTTGCCGACATTGTTTGCATGCATTTCTTGGGTTTTTGGGGAGAGAACTTGTGTGCCCCCACTGCATTGATTGCAATTTCGTTTCACAGTTCACATGTTTCACCATGTTTCGTCACCAGTAACGATGCGATCGAGTAAAGAGTCACCATCCTTATGGTAAGCGTCCAAAAAGTTCAACGCTGCAGCCATTCGCTGATTTTTTGTGGTCCTCTGTCAAGATTTTTTTTGGAATCCATCTTGCACAAAACTTGTGGTAACCAAGCTTTTCGCTGATGATTTCGTGCAAACAAACTTCGCGAAATTTGTGGAAAACTCAAGAAAGTTCCGTTATGTGAAATTTCGATTTTCACGGACTTTAGCATCGACTTTTTTCGAGAAGTTCGGCGGTCTCTATGCTGGGTCTCCCACTTCGATCTTCGTCGTGAACATTGGTTCGGCCATTTTGAAATCTTATGACCACTGACGCACTCCACCTTCAGTGATAATGTTGTCCCCCTACACTTCACGAAGCTGCCGATAGATTTCTATCGGTTTACAGTTTTTTTGCAGTCAGAAACCTTATTACTGAGCGCACCTCGCAGCTCGCGGAATTTTCAATTAACGCAGACATTTCAAACCGTCACAGTATCTGAACGGAGCACAGCACGAACCTCTCACTAGCACGGCTAGATGCAGACTGAGCTGCGCAACGCTCTGACCCCAAGATGGCCGCGCTAGCCCCGCCCCTAGCGGACACAGACGGAAACGTAATCTACTTCCTGGATGGCCCTCGTAGTTATTCGACCATTTTTTCCAAATAACCTGAACTACTTTTGTTGTTCTCTGGCACCCGGCTTAACCGATTTTCATTTACGTCTATTATCATTGGCTCTGGAATCGCCTGTATCGATCTCCCTATTAACCCTTTCTGGCATGCTACCTTTTAAAGTTGGAGTTTTGAAAAAAAAAAAAAAAAAAAAAAAAAAAAAGGTAGCAGTCTGATTAGGCCTAGAGGAGTTCACAAGTAAAATTTTGTGGAGATAGCGCTACTTATCGTTTTAATTATGTGGGCAGGGCTTAGTTTCTAAAATTAGAAGTGTCGGAGCCCTATGAAGACTCTGAGAAAGGAAAGAAAAAATAAATAAATAACAATAATAGCTAATGATTAAATAATAAATTTAAATTAAGATTAATATTAATTTGATTAAATTAACTAATTAAATTAAATTAATCAATTAAAGAATAAATTTAAATTAAGAAAAATGTAGAGAGAGAAATCTAATAAATTATTAAATTAATTTTGAATAGTTAAATAGAAAAAAAAAGTATTGGACCTCGTCTTATTTGAGGCATCGTCTGGAATTACGATTCCACTTAGATACTAAGAAGCAGTTCAGCCGATCTCCGTCTGAGTTTAAGTCCTGATTATACATAAAATGTACTATTCCAAGTGATGACAGGTATCAATGTTCTTTTGGAGCACACCAAGGGAAAAAGATAGAACGATTAAAGCTCCACTAAGGAGAATAGTGAGAATTCTAGAAGCAGTATGAGGGTATGGAAAGGAATTTAACTGAAAAGTGTAGCTTTGAAGATAAAGAGGGAAGAGTTCAAGACTTTTGGATCGCGATGCCCTATCGATATAATTCTAGCCATCAAGCAGAAATTTTCCCTTATTACTTTTCCTGAATAAATTTTCCTGAATACAACGTGAGAATAAATATGACTTATCGGTACAAGTGACAACAATGGTCCCCACCCCCGTTTGGTTACATCATTCAGAAAGTCTACAGCTCTGCAGAAGTCACTAGCGTGGAACGTGCACGACCAGGGTGTCACTTTTAGTCCTTTGAGAAGGGAACACAAAATTTACCCGCTCTCATAAATTCATTGCATATCCTGGAGAATTAGCCTTTGACATATAATTGGGGGCTTTCTTTCCTTAAAAGTCTCAACCTCTGTGCAAGGCTTGAGTGCTATGGAAAGACAGGCTTGCATTCAGAAGTTAGAATCGGATTTTTAAGACATGTTTACTATTAAAATAAAATTTATGGGCTAAAATTGTGGTTCACTTGCATAAAAAAAAGTGCCTGAGTCCTTTTATTTAGGGCTCCGGTGCGCTCCGGCTGAAATTATAATTTAACTCGAAAACTGAGAAGTACTGGAGCAAGGCTCTGGTGGGCTCCGGCGCAATTTAACTCTGTATGTGGGTGTGCCCAAAGTGGGTACACTGATTGAATAGAGCTTCGAAAAGAGTGCTGAAACGTGCATTATTGTCAATGAACTGACCGATGAGATGCGGAGAAACAAAGAATACAGACTCTCATTTGTCATAGATTATCGGTGAGCAAGGTCTGGGCACACCTAGGGTTCGCCGTTTGATTTTTTGCAAGATTTCAAGGTAAAAATTTAAAACTAATGTAGAATAAGGAGATTAGCATACAGCCAAAAAATAACATAGAAATTTATTTTTAAACAATTCCTTTTATACCCTAAAAAACATCTGGAAGATTTCTTTGAAAAATGAGGGTCTTAAAAAACTAAACATGGCTAAAATATATGGACTGGTTTGTGTTCAGCTGCCATCTACTACAAATAAAGAAGGTTCAGAATAACCTATAGTAACCTATAAATCCTTTTTCATTCAATTTTTCTGTGCGTACAGAAGGAAATTTTTATGTGTGTCCAGACCGGACACACTGTGCCGCGAAGGGTTAAGAAATGACCTGGGTTCAAAACTTCATAACAATCAGAAATAATTGGAAATGAGTGTAAGAGGTCTCGAATTTAGTATCCTCCACTTGTACGATTATTGTCTCAAACTCCTCATACGTAAAACGCGAATTTCCTATCGTTCTCTTTAAGTGATGCTTTACGAACTTTACACCGGCTTTCCATAGCCCTCCGAAATGAGGGAACTTTGGAGAAATAAAGTTCCAGTCTATTCCTCCGGACGTGAAATATGAAGCCAAAGTTTTGTCGGGAAAATTAATTACATTGTATAATTTCTTCAGCAGAGAATTTGCTCCTGCAAAATTAGGGGTATTATCAGTAAATATTTTCGCACATTTGCCACGTCTGGTCATGAAATGCATAAGAGTAGCAATTAAAGCATTAGAAGTCGAATCTGACAAAGGCTCAAGATGGATAGCTCGTGTTACAAAGTTTATACATACACAAATATAAATTTTATTCAGCATGCCCTTTCTCTGATGCTTGTAAGTTACATAAAAGGGACCGCATCGATCCAAACCTGAAACACTAAATGGGGGTGATCTATTAACTCTCTCGTATGGTAAATTACCCATAATCTGTGAAGACAAAATGGGTTTGTATTTAAAGCATGTCACACAAAGGTGTACTGTTTTTCGCGCAAAATCTCTATCGCCTAACGGCCAAAATTTTAAACGTACTGCATTCAATAATCTTTGAGGTCCAGCATTCAATAATCCTTGAGGGCCAACATGCAATAATCGTCTGAACACACTAGAAAAATAAATCTTACTTAGCTTGGAGTTTCTTCGGAGGATCCTAGGATATTTTTGAGAAAATGGTAAAGACACTTTTCCAAGACGGCCACCAACACGAATTATTCCTTTACAATCAACAAAGGGATGTAATTTTTTTAAGTTACCTGTTATGTCCTTTTTACAATATAGAGCTCTCTGCTCATGCTTAATAAGCATTTCCTCAGCTGTTCTTACCTCTTCTAGTTGAAGAGGCCCTACCCTTTTTGATCTATTCTTGCAATTATAAATGAACCTAAAAATATAAGAAAGAACATTAATAATTTTATAATAATTGTCACTAATATTCAAGAGTTCAACTAAAATGTTAGAGTTCATGTCAATCAACATATTTCTCTCAGAAATGTCATTAATGTCAATAAGAACCTTTGCTTTCGTGCATAAAGGATTCTCTTTCATTTGGTGTTAGGTGCTGAGACTCTGAAACTGTTGGTTGTGAGCCCTTGTAGGGAAGATGTGGCTCTGTCAAAAATTCTGCACAAGGCCACCACTTGTAATTGTTCACTAGAGAAGAAGCACTAACTCCACGCGTTAGAAGATCGTTAGAATCACTCAAAAAAAAAAAAAAAAAAAAAAGATATTAGATGAACCTTTATGACCCATAACCTTTTTAATCTGTGTTTCCAATCTTGCACCAATCAGTGCACCCAGTAATAATACCAGTCAAGGCAAGGAAACCTTTTTTGACAACTTTCTGCTCTTGGAGGCTAGCAAATTCACAAAAATTTGTTCTCGATTCTGTATACTCTTTGCATAAACGGCTGCACCATACGACTTTTGGCTTGTGTCAGAAAAAACATGGATCTCTATATTTTGATCGCATGAATCCAAAACAAATCTTGGAACACTAATGTTTCGTAGTTCCGAAAGCTCGCTGCACCATTGAGATCACTCGTCATTCAGATCAGAAGGTAGCTCAGCATCTCATGGTATCTTACGTAGCTATAGCTTTTGTAGTAAAATTTTTATTCTAACAGTGAATGGCATGATGAGTCCAAGGGGATCATAATTTTTCCAGCTGTGTTTGGAGGATGAAGCGTTTGGTACTTTTCTTTCTTCTCGAACTTTCAGTCAAACAAGAAGTCTCTATCTTCTTGAATGTCCCATTGAGTTCCTAATACTTTGAGTATTTTTTCATTTGAGCTTAATGGATGAATGTCAAAATTTTCTTCTTCCCATTTTTTAACTAAACGATTATCATTCGTCACCCATTTGCGTAGATTCATCCTATCTCCATGCATAATTTCCTTTGCTTGCCTTGAAATTTTTAAGGCTTCTGATACAGTTTGTTTTTAATGCTTCCAATGCTATTTATTTATTATAGCACGACCACTTTAATTTTGCCTCTTCATCTGATTTTGATAAATTTACCAGAGCATATTATGCATTAGTTTACTTTTTAGTCTTCATATTCAAAATGACTTCTGAAAATGACCAGCATTTCTCAGAACATAAATAAACACTAGCACTGAATTTCACATCTATAAAGGTTGACCACCACCATTGTCCATGAGTGGTTGTCTTAGAGAGGATTTTAATTTTTCTTCATATGTAGTATTTTCCAGTGAAAGCCACGGAATGCTATTGATACTAAGACAAACATACAAACTGACCTGTTTTTCAGGTAAATATCATCAAAACGCTTGCATGCATTATTAGTTAACTGTAACAAAGAGTAGCTGTATTAACATTTTTTGGAGGGGACTGTATTGCAGTACTTTGAAGTTAGATAGTTACATCAATATTGCAAGATTGAAGCAAAACATGAATAAGTAGTAAAAAGTAAGTGATGCTGCTAATGCCCAATGTGCTGTGTATCATCGAACTGATTTTTAAAATATTTCTTATAATGTCCCATTAAATAGTTTTTAATTGTCTTTTCAACTTTCAAATTTTAAAAATATACTCTTTAGGAAATAAGTTTATATAGGATTTGCATGAATTTTTAAAAATCTAAGACCATTTTTGCATGAAATTAATGCTTTGATATTTGTTATAAAGTGTTTTTTGTTTTATCTTCAACAGAGTCCGATCAGGAACGCCAGTTTCCTCATTGGCTGCTTTAGGTCTCTTTTTGTCTTGTATGTATATAGGTAAATAATGAACATTATAGATTATCAAATCAATCATATTTCCCCCCACAATGGAAACATAATTGTTTTTATTGAGTACTATTACTCTGCTTTTTAATGGCATTAATATGAATTTTAGATTGTGTAATATTTTTAGGAAAAAGTACAAATATGTGGTCTAATGAGTTGGTTCCAGATACAAAAACACCCGAAAAATTGCATTCTGGTGGCAGGCAAGTGCATTCAGAATTTATGCTTGTTGCCATGGAACGTGTTACAACATTATTTGACAGGTAATTTAAAATGATAAGTTATGTTTTCAATTTATTTTGCCATGCCTGGACAGAAAAGTATTTGTTTCATTTTGTCACTAATGCAATAGCACTTCTTTTATTTATTTATTTTTTAAGGATTAGAAAAGCATACCCATTTGAAGCTGAAGTTATTTGTGAGATTCTGCCAGCATTTCTAATGGAATTTTTTCCTGTGCAAGAAATTTTGAATAAAATTATCACAGAATTTTTATCTAGTCAACAACCACATCCACAACTTATGGCTAAAGTTATTTTTGAGGTAATGTTTGTTATTTTCTTCTTCTTCTCAGCTGAGTTGTTTTGTAAGAATTGGTCGTATTTCATAAAAATATTGTGTGTATAGTGAAAATGTGTATAACTTGCTGATTGTATATACAGTTTATGATATTATTTAAAAAATGAAATTTTAGAAATAACACTCTTGTATAAAATTTGCAACATTTAAGCCTAGTCAATTTTTAGCTGAACTTAAGAATTTAAAATTTTCCAAGATAGAATAAATTTAAGTAATTATTCAAAAAAATCAAAATGCAAAAATTGGAACTATCTTATTTTTTTTTTTTGGAGGGGGGATTATTATTTTTGTATGTGTGTATATTATGAGCAGATTGAGCTGGTACAAATTCAGGATAGTATTTCAATATTGTGCTAATTTTGTAAGTATTGTTATGTTCTTTTTTCCCCCTTCACATTGCGTTTAAGCGGTTCATGTGGTTTTGGAGTGAATAAAGACAACAGCACTCGATGAAATATTGAAATACACTTTATTAGCCAGTATTATTCAAGATAGCTCCAATAACATGTTTATACAGTCATCAAAGAACTACAATAAATGTGCTGACACAAGCAGCGACACAGCCTCCAGGTTATCAGCTATAATGGTGAAGACAGCTTTATTGAAAAGCACCAGAGTATAGCTCCCGACAGTCGTTCCCGAAACTCAACACACTCTACTCGATGATGCACTAACCGCGATACACTACGAGACTCTTTCGGTGCACTCAATGACCAACTCGGCACTCACTGACTGACTGACTATCAACTCGATGGACTTTCGCACGGACTAACTGACTAACTCTCCGCGTATCAGCAGGGTTTATATAGCTCTTGGCTTGTATTTGAGAACATTCTAGGTTAAGCCGATAAGAATTTGTTCCAGAAGGTTCTCCATATGTCCATGGCATATCGCCAATTTTCTCGCCAAATGGGCGATTTCTCGCCAAATGTGGCAACCACTGCCTTCCCTTGCCATTTTATGGCAACCCTAACCCTGCTTTGCAGAGAAGCTATCTTACCACGACTGTACAATTTGTAACAGTATAATAACATTTTCTATGCACACAAGACCAATGAAAAAATTATGAGTCATTATTTTTATGAGTCACAGCTGCAGCCTGGGTATAAGACTAACATAGCATCTAATCTGGACTCTGGTGATTCTGATCTGAATAAGCATGATTTTTTGCCGTATTGTACAGCCCTTCACCACTTTTAGGCAGTTGAAATCGCCTATGCATCACTGTTGCACCATCTATATTGTTGTTATTTTTCATGGTCATATTTTCAGTTAAAATGGCCAAACATTAAAAAAAAAACTTAATATTACATCAATTTTAAATTAAACACATCTGCGTGTGGAGAAATACATTAAATTTTATCAAAAGCTTGATATGGAGTCGACAACTGAGAATGTAGAGCTTTTGTAATGAATGATATTTGAAGACTAGTTAAATAAAGTTTTTTTTTTTTTTCCCAATATATGACCAAACATCATTTGAGACTGAAAAATGTTCTAGCGGGCCACGTTCACGATTTTTGCTTTTTTGGGAAAGTAAATTTTCGAAGTCCAGATTCTACTGATATCTGAGATATTTGGAGAAAATTCCTTGTTGCAATAGTGCATCATTAAATGAGGCAAAAAATTTTCTGATAAGTAGGAAATCTTTGGAAGTTGATAATTAGTGTTCTTAAAAATGAAATGCAAAGCACAAATTCAAGAGCTTATTTTGTGGGCTGATTGTATAATAGTACTTAACAGTATGAGATTTGCATGTTATTTTTCAAAAATGAGAGAAGATACTATAAGATGTATTAATGATATAGGTTATGTATTCTGTAATGGATATCAGAAAAACAGCTATTTTGTCAATGACAATGCTTCATGCAGTGAAGAAATATCTTTCTTTTAATCACAGCAATGAGTAGCATGAATCCCATTTAGTCCAAGCATTGTTAGGTTCATATTTGTTCCTATGAATAGTTTGGATATTGCAAGGATCAGGGTAACTTAGTTGCAAATTGAACAAAGCCGTGCCTAGACACTTGTTCACCTGAGGATTAGAGGTAAATTCATTTCCCGTATATAATCAAATTATCTATATTTGTACAGTTTTATATTATACAAAAGTGACTATATTAAATCATAATGTTTTAACTCTTGCAGTATTTTTAACTGTAACTTTATCAGTCTATGTAGTTCGTTACCATAAATGTAAATTGCATCAATACCTTAGCTGCAAGAACGCAGTTTAATGCTAGGAAACAGATTATATAGTACCGTGAAATCGCAGGTCTCTTGAAGATAGGTTAGTCATTAAAGCGTATTTCAGATGGATTATTAATATAAAAAAATTTCGCATTCTGTTTCATGGAATTAAGGTAAACCATGCAATGTATTAAAGGAATCTGACTGCAGAAAGATAATAAAGTAAATCAATTAATTCATACTGAAATAATTTTTCGGCCTACTATGTTGACGTTTTGTTGCGTTAGAAGTAAATTGTGAGACGCCACTTTGACGAGAATTTGGCTACAAAAAATGGTTATTGCGAATCATTTTGTAACAACAAGAAGGAAAGAATATAATGCTTTTAAATTATCTAAGTAGTGCTAGCAAAGTTTTATTATTTTAAATATTATGTTTTAAAACTATGCTTCTTGATGTGGCTCAGAGCCTAAAGTTAACAACCATAATTTATTTTTTAAATGAAATTTTAACTTTTCATAGTCAATTGGGCGCCTCTTCTAGCTGTTCAGCTGAGACAACTGCCTCACTTGTGCCACCATTATCTCGGCTCTAAAATTAAGTGATCATAGCTTCAACCCCTATCTGAAGAAAAAATGGCACTCAGTATAGCATCTCTGACAGATAATGTGGCCTTGACAACATTGAATGTGATTTGAGAAGCATGCAGTTCCCATATCAGACGACTAAATATGCAAGTAGAAGCAACTATGTTTATTAAGATTTGAAAAGAAATGAGTCAGAATATTTTTCAGCATTTCAAGAGGTCCTAGAATTAGCCGCTTTTGAAGCAATATATTTGAGCCCTAAATTTGTATTAATGAAATGATCAGTTCTTTCTCGTTCATTTTATTAAGTACCTGATGATTGCATTTCTTGATGAGTAGTGGAAGATTTTTACTTTTGTGTCACACGTTTTTGGTAATTTGAAAAATCTATCTTTAACCTAATGCATCATTTTCTTTCTTAAGAATGTAAATCTGTTGAGAGTTCAAAACGTATTCTTACTGAATTCAAAACAGTCTGGCTGTGTATTTCGCGGTCCTGTTCCCGTTGGAAATATATTGTGACAAACATTCTTTAATAATATCAGATAAAAGAATGAAATACATACGAATTGTTAACCTTATTAATCACTAAGAATTACAGATTTGTATTAATGTAAAAAACAAACTCATTATTCACAATTAAAAATTTCTAAATGTACAGATGAGTTAGGCAAAAGTCAGTAAAAATTTTAAATCTTTCGTATTTTAGTGGATTTGCAATGTGTAAGCTCAGAAAATAATGAGGAGGGAAGTAGTTTTATGAGGTAAAATTTTAATTAGATTTATGTTTCCAGGATTTCGCTGGTAGACTTTTTGCCGCCCTGCGCAAAATCTGAAAATCCAAAATTCTGCCACTGGTTCCTTCCTAAATTCTAAAAAATTTGTCGCCTAATGCGGTCGTACCGGTTGCACACACTGTGGTTCATTACTAATAAGCATCGTGTAAAGATAACTAAGGCATTATGAACGGCAGAATCAACATTTCTCTAGCAATCGTTGATACATGCCATCGGATATTATCGTGTTTAATTTGTCGTTGACACTGAGTGATTATTGTGTATTCATAATTTCAGATAACGCTATAATCAAAGCTGCAGGATGTCTACTTTGGTGATCTGCATGGTCATTCATGCGTATAGGCTTATCACTCGATTTTCCCCAAAAATCGAGAATAAGAATCGCTTACGGAAGAAACAATGAGAGAGTGATTGTAATATCACCCTTTCTTCATCCTCCGCCTCATCGAGAAATAACTCCAATTTTTTGTATTTTGAACTTTTATTGCACAAACACAAACTAATACTAAACCTACAATACTAATAACTGAAATATATATAAAATAATACAAGTTAATTTCGGTTTCATTAATGGCTCCCACGAGCCTTCCTTATGGCCTTTCTGTCGGTCTCCCTCTTGGAAACTAAACTTATGGCGCGTTCAGATTGAGAGCCAGTGCCCTCTACATCTTGTTGGTTGGCGTCACCCGTACATCACAGTGATATTCCTTTCTTGATTAATGTCACAAAATCCAGTTTAACAAAATGATTTATCTCCTGCTTGGGAGTAAAAGTTTTCTTAAGCAAATTAGTCTAATGTCAACCAGGGATATTGATAACACAAAGGCAGAACCGTATATTCAATATTCTAGTGTTCCAATGTATATAGTAGCATGTATTGGAATATAACTGTAACAACGAAATTTATGTAATAAAATTACTTAAAATTGATTACGTTGTATTTCATGGGCTGTTTTCAAAAATATTTTTTTGTTTGTTTGTTTGTATCACTGGAATATCTTCGGAGAGAGCAATAGAGTGCTAAAAGTAGGATCATTGAAAACTGGATTACTTAATTGACAAAGAACCAAGGACTCTTTGCCTAACTCCACCCTAGGTTTAGAGCAGGGATGGGCAAACTACGGCCCGCCAGAAAGTTCTATCCGGCCCGCGGACAGAATTTTTAATTTGCTGGTCCGAGGCAAATTAAAAGAAATATATATTTATATATTATATATCCATCTTCTTTTCTACTTTGTTTAAATATTTTTTTTTTTTTCAAAGGACTGATGATCTTTTTACATAGTCTATTTTTGTTCTACAAAACATAAATCGACAGAAATAGCAGGAAGAGACAGCTTTCAATCCGTAAATTGTTAAAAGCGCAAGTTCTTTGTTAGTTATAGCTGTA